CAGGGGTTGTAGGGGGTGGATGATGATGGCATTGGAGGGCGGCGAATGGTAGCGTCGGGGACGGTGGTGGTAGTAAATCGAGTTTCACGATGAACCGGCGAGTTGACCCCTGCGGGCACTTTCGCTGTGTTTGCTTTGATTCGAAGTTTCCGGTTAAGTTGGTTACCGGAACGGGCGGACAGGCTCTTTGTTTGATCCTGCGAACCGGGGACGGGCCTCCCGGATTTTCGATATCCACCCACCTCCCGCCCCGTGAATCGCGTTCCTGGCGCGGGCTTGTATGCAGCGTGTAATCGGAGGAGAAAAGTTCAAATTCGGGGCGGGAGGGGCGAACGTTTCTGCGGACGCGGTGTTTTGGAGAACGGAAACATGGGGATTTCGGGTTTTGAATCCTGTCGGAGGTTGGTATGGAGAATTCAATTGAGTGTTGGGGCGAAAGGGTGGATGTTCGTGGGAACGCGTTGTCTTAAACGATGATTCTTGGAACAGAAACGTTGTGTGTAATCGTGCTCTGGGTCCGTAGAAGTTTAGAGAATGTAATTATAGAAAGAAGTTGAAAACTGGGAGTGAGGAAAGGAAAATTTGAGTGACTTTATTGTTCCACATAGTTTGGTAACAGAAATTTCATTATTGCTTAATTCTCTTTTTTTATTGTATTTGAAGTGACAGACGTATAGATGTATTATCGTATATAATCATGATAATACCGTAAATAACAATAATAATAATAATACATCGACATTCATTGCCCATTCATTAACAAACTAATCTAATAAATTAAACTATCTCTCGCTAAAGAAAGAAATTCACTAAATTGCACGGTAAAAATGCAAAGAAACTAATTAACTTCCTCCGAAATTAATAACTAAGGAAGCGAAATCTGCTCGACGGAAGCCGTCGAAGGTACAAGAGTGTTTACCCGTGGCTCGATTCCAAATTAATGGAAACGTGAAATATACACGGGTAGAACACGCGTGGAGAGCGGTCAGCACAACAGGTACGATAATGCGAACTTGGTTTGTTTATGCCGGAACAGAGGGGCGAGGGGGTGGATTAAAATAATGCATCGACGCACAGAACCGCCGCATTGAACCAGATGAAGAGATTTGCCTGGCAGGCAAATTACATACGCATTAACCGAGGAAATGCAGGGGTACGTTTAGGCGAACACCTACACGCAAGTTCCCGTTAATCACAGACTTTAAAGAAACATCGCTAAAATATTCCATAAATGGCTGAAAATCATGTATATCAGACGATACAACCATCGTGTTAAAACGTTAAAAATGAAAGGAATCTTTGAATATTCTTTATTCATGATGTTCGTAAATTGTTTTGCGTAAAAGTGATACTGAGAGAAGTTTAGACGATCGAAGTTGCATTGTTGCAATATTCACAGCGAGATCGCGACGCGGAACATTCGTAAAATGGCTACAACCGATTGCTAATACCGGAGATTGAAATATTCACGGGTTGAATTCGTAATCAACGATAAATACGTGTTTAACGATGGTTAATATTAATTTATGCCGAGTCGCTTGCAACGTGTATAGGGATGAATGTATGTAAGTGATAAATTATTGCGGGAAATGTATCGTTTCGGACCACCTGCACACCATGGAGATTATATTGTAGTTAGCAATGATATATATATATATATGGAACAGGAATGATGGGAAGTTTGTAATAATTAGTAAATAACGTCGTCTGAAAGATTCGCCATCTGGTAGTGAATGCTAGAACCTCGGCGGCCATCTTGTCTTAGATTGGAAGTTTGTAGCAACCTAAATAATGCAATCGATTTACGATTTCAAAGATAAATAAGCACTATCTGCTTCTATGATGATCTTCACAGTTGCAATATTTTATCTAAACCATTATTCCACTAAACATTAAATAGATATAATAAGAAACTTTAAAAAGAAAACCTCCTGAACCAAGAACCATATTTAAAAACATGAAATAACCGAATCAAAATGTAATTTATATAAACATGAAACGTATATCAACAATTTCCAGTAAAATCAAAAACCATACATTCATTTCATCAAAACCAGCCAACTCCAAACTCTAATCCCCATTCTTTTCAAAATGGCGATCTCAAGTACCCAAGCAAATATCAACGCGATAATAAACATATGAAAACCAAATGATCTTCCTTTTCACAACACCTACAAAAAATTCCCCTCGATTCCCAGTGAATCATCATTCACTAGCAATCGCCACAGACCGAAAGGAGATAAACGCCTACCAATCAAAGGACACAGAACGCGGCTCGATCACCGTGAAAGAGTACTCAACAAACCGCGACCAGTGGGGGTAAATCGAGTCCTATCCAGAATAATAACGCCGCGATGCATGGAACACCGGCGGCCAGGGGGTGAATAAAGCCGGGGCGCGGACGGGGGCGCGGAAAAAGGGGCAGGGGCCACGCAGAGGGACAGAGAGGAGCCTTTGTGCGGACGCCGCCTCTGTGCCGCGCACGAAACGCACGGTTAATAATGGATAATAATACCTAAATGGCCGATCATCGACTCGAATCCCGTGAATCGATGATTCGATTGTTTCTGTTGTTGCGCGCCCGGCCATCCGCGTCCCGGGTCTCGCTCGGAGAGGGCCGCTCGTGCGGCACAAACTCGAATTCCGACCCGACCCGCGGATCAAACGTGTTTTTGCGGGAGGGACCTGGTGTACCGAGACCACGTAAATATTGTTTGAGCAAGGATTCCCCGTAATTTCGGTCGCGTCCATGTCGAACTGATGCGTGGTCGGTATTATTGCGCAGCCCGGACATTTGGAAATTAGAAGTAGCGATTATTTGGGGTTTACTGATCGCGAAGAATTGTTTGAGCTTCTTTGCGATTCGAGAACTGTGGGTGAGTTTTGAAAGGGAGATTATGCTGTTGTTTTTGATACTGTGATGGTATGGGGTTGTGTTAGGTATTGTTAATTGAAGCATTGTGGAGGGAAAGATTGTAGTTTGGGATAGTGAAGTGGGGTGTTGTCGATTGAGATGTGCATTGGAATTTCGTAGATGAAATGCTTTGGACTGAAATGTTATTGGTTGGAATATGGGTATGGAAATGTTATGAATTGGCGTGCTGTGGATTGGAGTATTGTGAATTAAAGTAGGAGTTCAAATATGGTTAGTGGAAATGTAGATTGAAGTATTGTAGATTGAAATATATATGGTAAATGGAAATATTCATAAAGTGGGATATTGCGAATGAAATATTGTAAGTTGAAATGTTGTAAGTGGAAATATTATAAATTGAAACATTGTAAGTTGACATATTATAAATAGAAATATTGTAAATTGAAATATTTTGCATTAAAACATTTAGAATTGAAACACTTTGAATCGAATTCTTTCGAATCCAAACACTGAAAACTAAAATACTATACAAATAAATGCAAACTTTGCTTACCCACTCCAACTTTCATTACCCACAAATATTACCATTCGTCTTCTCAAAATCAAATATTCAATAACCGTCAACTCCACACTGAAGAACTAAAAAAGAAACTGATCGACTCACCTGATTCTTGCCTTTGAGAACGAGGACGTTAGTAACGCGACCGAAGGGTGCACCAAGATGGACGATCTCACCCTCCGACACCTCGTTGGGGATGTTCCTGATATGAATGACTCTCGAAGGTTTGCTATTGTGGCTCTTGTCGAGTTTAACCTGCAACAGAAAGAACATTCCTCGATGTGAAAAAAACGAATCAAACAGAAAGTAAAATATATCAAAGCCGACCACTTCACTCCTATTTCCTCCATACCGTTGGAAACTTCGGTTCGCAAACACGCTTTTAAAATTCCATTAGTGCTCGTTACAAATGCCCGACCAACGAGAATCGAGCCCCGCGCGGGGACAAGCAACGACTTCCAAATAACCCTGGAAGAACTCGGGACCCATTGGTTACCGCGTGTAAAAGTAACGAAACTTTTCGCTCGCGGATACATTTAAATCGAAACCGTTGTTGCCGCCGGCAGAATTTTCAATCACGGCTCAATCTAATCGACTCTCTGCTCGCAGTCAGCCCCGTCCCGTTCACCCCCGACCTCCGCCTGACCTACGACCAACAACTTTTTCCCTCGCTCTTCGGCGAACCGAGCTCTCTTCCTGTTGCCTCGAACACTGATTCTTTTTCTTCCCTTACGTAACCGCCTTTTCCACCGACCGGGGAAGAGTTGTTGAGGTTTGTCGAGTTCAACCGATCGGAAAATGCGGTTCCCGCAGGGTAGAGGCTCGAGGACATCCCAAGGAATCGCGATGTTTCTTCCTTTCCAAGGGAATTGGATGTGCGTTTCGATAACACGAATGGATTGTTGTTAATGCGCGCTGTGTGGAACAATGTGCAAGGTTTCGCGGGTGGATGGGGTTGAGGGGTCACCTAGAAACCATTTTGTGGAGAGACTGACATCTTGTGGAGGATACAAGAATTAATGGTTTTATTTTTCAGCGAAGGAAATGGCAGAATTGCGATTTGGAATGTTGCGAAATATCTTGGGGATTTTGATGGGTTGAGAATGGGAAGTTTGAAATTTATTGCGTTGAGAATTTGGGAATATGAATTGTGAGAAATGGAATTTTTGAGAATTTTAATATTGTAAGTTGAGGATTTTGAAGATTTAAGTATTGAAAGTTAAGGATTTTGACAACTCAAACATTGAAAATTAAGGATTTTCAAAGTTCAAGCATTTAAAGTTAAGGATTTTGAAAATTTAAATATTGAAAGTCAAGGATTTTCAAAATCTAAATATTGAAAATTAAGAATATTGGAAACTAAATAATTTGCACAAGGGAACGTGTCGTTTCTTTCGGCCAAATTTTTATTCTGGAAAGAATTAATGTCTTTGAAACAATTACATGGTTAGACATTCTTTGAAAGAAATGTTTTGAATGCTATTTAATTTAAGAATTATAGGTATGTATACCAAATGACCACTATTAGTACACTATTTGTAATTCAAAGATATTTGGAGGAAGTAAACAGCATAAAACAGGTTCGATTGAGACGTTGTGTCCCAGTTTCAAGGGATTTCAGTAGGAATTGAATGCAACGAGTTCCTTAGTGAGTCCGTATAATGGCGTATTATCGTATAAGGCTCGATAATCAGGCGCGCACGTATAATGCATAATAAAGACATGCTTGACAATAATTCGATGCACAGCGGCAAATTTATCGTACACGGTTCGTTACTTTTTAATTGCATTACGATACACTATTACCGTCCATCATCGACTATGTAATTCGTGCAATTATTCAGTCCCATTTAATCAATGCTCAGAATAACATCCTCCGCAAATGAAATTTCATCTTAAGCACCCTCACAATCGTCACTCGAATCATATTCAGTTCACTTTGAAATATAGACCAACTGGCGACATTTATTAACAAACGACCTACTCTATTTTCTAAATTTACCGAACAATACGCGTTTCAAAATTTCCTATAATTCACCTCCAACAAACACCACTCCAATATTTCAAACATTAGGCACATTAAAATTCTACTACCAAATTAATAATTAATTTTTCTATTTTCAATTTGTCAACATTCTTGGAACGAGAATGAGATCTTTCCATAAATTTTGTCTGAAAATTCCCCCAAAAAAGTTTCGATGTTGCACGAAAGCTTGCCTAATAATAACTAACTCGTAGAGATCATCTCAACAATGCCGGGGTTCCACGTGCCAGCCGATGAATACCCGGTGCAAATTTCTGGCCAGCTCTCCTCTTTCCGCGGGCCAGGGGGTAGGAGAATTACCGCGGAATCAAAAGAAGTCGAGAGTTTAATTTCAAAGGTTAGCCGGCCGGCCAGGGGCAGCTTCTTTGCTAGGCTTCCACCTCAGGCCACTCCAGAAGACTCGAAACTCATCTTCGCTCCGCCGGGGAAGAGGACATGGAGGGTTCGAGCCGGTGAACCGGCGGGAAAGAGGGCAAGGAAGAGACGGAATATGGCGGAAATCTCGTAAAGCCGCTGCTTATACGTGCCTCGGATCCGCGAGGCTCGAGCCACGATAAGAAACGACGATAAATACGAGTAAATTTCAGAGACAAGCGGAACAGAGAGGACTCTGGCTGGCGCACTCGTAAAATAAACCTGGAACGGCCGTAGTTTTATTGGGGCACGTCGCTTCGACGAGATTTGAACACTGTGTTCTAGTGATTCCTTTGGACATCAATGGGAAATAGTGAAATATCAACTGGGCAGAGGGTATTTTCGAAAATCTCAGAGATGAACTGGAGGAAACTGTTACAATCAGAGAAACTTGAGACCTGTGAGAACTATTACTTCAATCTTCATATTGTTAATTCTGCGATTTAGTTTTCAACTGTGATCGATACGTCAGTAATAATTTATTGAAAAGATAGACAAATTCTATGATATCCTACGCAATGCAATAATTGATAACAGAAGTTACAATCAGAGAAACTTGGGATCTGCGAGAACTATTACTTTAATCTTCATAATGTTACTTAATTCTATTTAGTTCTCAACTGTGATCGATACGTCATAAATTCTACGATATCCTACGCAATGTAATAATTGTGACACACGTATTATAGTAAAGCAAAAAGTTAATACGTAACAATATAACATTCATATTTCTATTCAATATAACAAACATAAACTACATTACAAATTACTCAACAACGAAATTACAAAATGTGATGGAGAGGTTATGTTAGCAAGCTAGGGCTAGCACCCACTGCTACGATAATCTGGCAGCGCCGTCACTGCCATCTTGCCGCGATCAGCGACACTAGCATCAAGGTATCTATTCGCTGCATCGATATTTCGAGTCGCAGCGCGAATATCTGGCACGGAAAAGTGTCAGCAAGTGTCCAATTCGGGCACGTCCGAGCAATTTCGAGGAAGAGGCTATCAAATGAGACACTCGAGACGTCGAGGGCGAAACGACGCGGCGCGCGAGTGCCTGTCGATCGCAGAAGAAGAGGCTTAATTGCCCTGATGCAAGCCACCGAGGAACGCGCGCAATTCATGGTGCAAATAAGGTTGACTTCGAGCACCGTTCAACCTCTCTTGCCGACGACCTCGAGGACCTCTCTCCGTCCCTGGACAACGTGCCCCGGCATCTGCGTTCCCCGCGTTTCACCTCTCTTTCTGTCTTTTCGCTTGTTCTCTTTTTCGGCAGAATGTCACTGCAAGGAATGCACTCAGCGAATGCTAACCTTCGGAGGAAGTTAACGAAACCTGTATTTATGACTGAGGGCAAGATACAAATTTTCATTGGGTTTCACTGATACAGAGATTTTGGGAAATTGAGTACTTTGGATTATCGAGACTACATGGATAATCGAGTTTTTGGAGTTTAGATGTTGGGAGAATTGTTTTTCGATGCTTTGTTTTATATGGGGTGGTTTTAGAAACTTTTGAGTTCTGGATTATCAGTAATTAATAATTGATTAATGAGTATCGAATTCTGGAACATTGGTAACTTGAAATTTTGTCGTAGAAGTAAAATTTAATAACTGTTTCTTTTGTTAACCCTTTGCACTCGATTTATATTCAATGTTGTTCGGTGTGAATTTATTTTCAGGGAATTGATTTGAAGTAATTTACAGAAGAATTCAATGTTTTATATTTATTTTATTTATCTTCATTATAATGTGGTACTTTTTAAAACAATTTCAAACGTTCTATGACAAATTTGTGTTGTCATCTCCAGCATTACATATGAGTGCAAAGCGTTAAATTTTATGTGAAATAATAATTAACGCTGACCGAGAACCGGTGAAATAACTGGATTTAAAATTCTGCGTTTTCTTTTGTACATTTAATTTTATATCAATTTCTATATTGTCCGAATAATTGGTTTCTCAATTTTCATCCTTCCTTCTGTTCCTGTTTCCACTAAACACAATTTACCATCTAATATTTTTATCTCTATTTTATAGTCAGTTATTTGACTAGTTACGGTAAAAAAATAGATAAAATGTGCCCGTATGGTTAACGTTGACGAACAATTATTATTATATAATATAAATTTTACGATTTTTCACTCTCCTATTGGAATACTCGCTTTTTCTTCGACTCATTTCAAGTGCAACCCTTTCGTGCAAGGGTTACTTCGCGATCCTCCCTCAAAGCATAATAAAAATTCTCCTTTCCCGCCCTCTTTCGGCCCATCTTCGGCTCTCAACCACCGCCAACCCCCTCCCTCCCCATCAAGAATATGTCTTCCTTCATCCGAGCCGATAATTGGACATAATGGAGGCAATTCGCGGAAAATCGCTTGTAGGAAATGGGCACCGTGACCTCCTCCCACCGGTCTGATAACGAGGGAGGATGCGCTCCGTCAACCGGAAGTCAACATTCCAATTCCGTTAGAAAACGCTCCGGCTCTCTCGATCGGAGGAAACAACGAGCGAATACGTTCGGAATAATTTTATATCGAACACTCCCCGCAGTATTCCAAAATAAACAAATATGTGTATTTGCCAAACATAAACATTCACGAAATCACCTGTCAACGAAAGCAATTTATTTTATTCTAATTAAATAAAAATGACCAGAAATCTCGAGAAATTAATAGAAATTTGCTTTATATTAATAACTTCCTAGCAGAGAGAGAAATTCAATGCAAGACTAAATACGCGGTGAATATTAAATGTTCATAAAGAAATTATTTGATTGCAATGCAACGTCAACT